GGACACCCCACACGCACACCCACATACATATACACAGACACACTCACACACATACCCTCAAACACAATTAGACACACATGCACATACACACGTGTATACAAACACACACATATATATATACATATATATATATAGATATATATATATATATATATATATATATTATTACATACATACATACATACATACGTATATAGATACATACATACATATGCACATACATACATACATATATACATACGTACATACGTACGTACGTATGTACATACATACAAATATACATATATACATATATACATATATACATACATACATACATACATAAGTACGTAAAACATACATACATACATATATACATTCATTCCTACATACATATATATATATATATATATATCGATATATATATTCAACTCTAAGCCAATGGAAGCCACAAACGATTTCTACCAGTGATAAGAAAATATTTAACAAACCTTTATGAGCGAGATGGTCCTGAATATATCACGATCCATCTCGGCTGTGAGCAATTCAGCGTCTTCATCTTCACTCTCACTATCGCTATCCGATGCAGACAAAGTGGCGTCATTACCATACTTTTGCTTCAAGCGCATCAATTCCTCCCGCTCTTTTTGATACACGAACTTTTTTGCATATTTGTCGTTGACTTTGAGATCGAAATCCCCCGACCCTAGATTAACCTCCTCTTCTCCTTCGGAACTATCTAGAAGACTCATAGTGTATCGTACCGAGTCTCGACTTGGTTATATTACGTGAAGCTAATCGAACGCCAAACCCACTAACTGATAAGTACCCGTGACCTATTGTTTGTGACCTATTGTTTAACTAACTTAATAATACCGAATTTCATAAACAGTATGTACTACAGCATACATTTTTGAAAGCATTGCTATATGATGGCATCTATCTGCTCTATCAATTATCATAGCGTACAGCCGCACGGTACAGGGTGCACAATTGCACATGTACCCATTTAAAAAATACTACCCAATAGAAAACTGATGACGGAACAGCAAAGTGAGTCATCATAAAACATCGGTCTTATTTACAATCCTCCTGCACCTGCGCCTGAGAATGATGGACTGTACAGTTAAAAACACCCACTATATTTGGGAAACGGGGTGCATAGTTTCATAATCGATCTTTGGTGTCTTGGGGAAACCGGACATTCGGACAGTTGCGGTGCATATCTCTTTATTCAATGTATGACTGTCGTTTTTGTGTTTGATTTTTATTATTAAAATATTTTAGAAGAAGGCTAAATATTGCTTTTACAAAATACATACATATGTACGGTACTTTTAAAAATAATAATATATACACGACAATTACATACAGAGTAAAACAGCGAGCAGTTTATCTGTTTTACGTTTTTAAACTGGACGGGTGCAAAATCATTGACGTTTGAAACCAAAACAAAATGTACTGTATTGAACTATTCACATGTATGACTCATCGTTTTGTTTATATTTTTTAGAAATTTTTACATAGAGCGAGAGCGAGCGCAATTTGTTATCGTACATTGCCGAGTCGGCAAAATCGCCGATGGTGGGGTTTATAATATTGAGTAGCGATGCTTGATGTTTGGGCGAGGCCGCACATGCACGGCCACATACATATAAATACATATGTACACATTTTAAAAACACTTATTTCACAAGCTCACAACTTAACTTATACCATACACACAACTTAATTCTGATAGTATCCACATAGATACACACCTACACAATATGTACCAACAACAGAATCCATATGGACAGGGGCCGCCACGACCAGACCCGAATGATCCACTGTATCAGTGGTTTCTTTCAGTTGACACGTATGTATATGTATGGGGCTCTGCAATTCGTTTTATGTTTTACTATTTTACCATTAAAATACACTGACCCCGTTTTATATCAGTACTAGCATCATTAGTGACATGTATTTATGATACGAGATTCGAGAGTTGCCTTGTCTTTTGTTCGATGCTTATGAAATTTCAAGTAAGTGTTGGTACGCGATGACGTACAATGGCGGGTCATATTCGGTCTTACCGCAGCGAAGAATCTCTATAAATATGCCGTGCGAGACATGCGAAACAGATTGACGATTGTTTTACGCATATGATCCTAGGATATATTCTCTACTGAACCCCCCAGAATTCACTCCAGTTTTCGTAGTCAATTTTATGTTGTAGTATCAACAAAATGCGCATGTATTTGAAAGAAGTGTGAATAGGAGTATGAGTTGAAGGGTTTTTATGTATTAAATTGCAATATAATTTCGTTGAACGATATATAAACATATATATGTATATGTATATACACACACACACACACATATATATATATATATATATATATGATTATATATATATATATATATATATATATATATATAGTATATATAC